AAATTGTACGTTGTGAGGTTCCTAAAAAGATTTAGATGCTTAGATGGGTCATTTTTACAACAGTAATTAATTTAATTAGAAAACAAACATACAGGCTGTAATTCTTCGAAAAATTCACTAACTAGCTTAAAGGCCCATTTCCAACCTTGATGCAACGAGGTCGTTTGTTTTTGTTTTGAACCACCGCTTTTGTTTAAATAGCGCCTCTGATTGGTCAGTTATTTTAACCTTGTCACGTCTCAAAATACCTTCTGCGTTTTCTCCGATGAATTTGAAGAGCTTGTCAAAATAATTCTGTTTAAAACAGTTCTATACGTTTTAATCCGGTATGGAATCAGATGAACCATTGATTTAGTAGATTCCGAGGCAGTAAACGCCTATGGATTGGTTGTTGCTAAAGACGAACGCGAAAATCCTTTCGAAGAGGGTTAAAATGTTGATCCACCAATGGTCAGTTGAAGTTTCCTGTCCGTGGAGAGGAATTTGCGCTCCAAAGAGTGGTCGAGGTTGTTGTCCATGCAAAGCAATAAGAATTGTAACGCAAACTGTCAGTGTCGCTGACGTTCCTGCAATGAAGTGACTAAACTTAAAATAATTAAACGTCCGGCAGTCCGATATTTTTCCATATTTCTCTTCGAAATCCAAAAATATTTACACGAAAATGTGTTACCTTTATTTACAATCCTCAAGCGCTTCCAGGCAGCCTAAAAATTTCGAACTTGATGTTTCTCGCTAACCCTGTATACAGAGTGCGAAGCCATCCAAGCGCTTGACACTTAAAAACTTTTCAATGACACGGCTGGACACGGTCCTCAAATAACTCCATATTTCTCTTTGAAATATACCAATTTTTCGTTGGAAAATATTCTACCTTCATTTACAAGCCTCAAGCGCTTCTAGAAAGTGAAAAAAATGCCAACGTTATCTGTTTCGCTGACCTTGTACACAGAGTGCGAAGAGATCCAAGCGTGACACTAAGAAAATTTTCACCGGACACTACCGGACACGGTCTTCGAATAACTAAACGTCCGGCAGTCTGATATTTTTCCATATTTCTCTTTGAAAAATACCAATTTCTATTGGAAATATTTTATCTTCATTTAGAATCCTCAAGCGCTTCTAGAAAGTGAAAAAATTTGAACGTTGTCCTTTTCGCCGACTCTGTTCACAGAGTACGAAGAGATCCAAGCGTGACACTTAAAAAAAAATTTTCTTCGGATTCTTCCAGACAAAATTCAAAATACTGTAAGGAAACTGTAAAATGACGAACGGCGAATGTATTTACCGTAAAACAGTTGACTATATGTCCAGGATGGCTCTTGATAAGACGATTTTAGAAGGTTTTCGGTGATCTGGGAATTTCGCGTTACAGGAAAGTAGGTCGCGGCGCGCGTTGCATCAAGGTTGGAAATGGGCCTTTAAAATTGAACAATTTTCAATTGATAATTTTGATTTTGTTATCGTGGTCCACAGCGGGAAGGCTTTCTTTATCTAAGACATGGCGTGCAAAATTAAAAATTTCAACATTAAATTTGAAAATCACATTTCTGATTACTTATCTAGTAGTTGTTTTAAAACTCATTGGCAATCAGATGTGATCGATAATACCCATGCATTTCTTATTATCCAACACGCATTAATTATTTTTAATTAAACCTTTAGCGCAAGGTCCCGTTTCGAAAAAAGGCCAAGCTAAAAGGACAGAAATGTTCAGAAACAGGGGTTAGGATCTGCTAAAAAATAAAGTTTCCTTTGTTTTGTTTTCGCTGAGCGTTGACAAACTTCGACAACATGAAAGGAACCAAAACGGTCCTAACTCATGAAGGTTTGTTTGAAGTTAAATGGATTCTAAGTTACAGCTGGATGTCACAATAAACTTTTACAACAGATTGAAACATCCTACCTATGAATGTCCCGCCATTGAGTGTGAAGTTGTTTCGCTTCTCAGAGAGACCTAGAGCCATTTCGGCAAGCTAGGAGTTTAAGATCTAGAGATTACATAACTAAGAAGTTAATTGGGTGGCTTTTTTTTTGGGAGAGGGGAAGATGTGCAAGAGAGAAGATATAATTATAGTACCTATTCAGACATTCTCATTAAGTATCCTGGCATTTTCTCCCCTTCCTCCATGACATCAAGTGACGTCACGAGATAACCATTGATGACGTCATAGTTTGGCTTATGTGGTAGAGGATGGGGTGTGATATACTCTCAGAGGAGAAAACTTTTACTACCGAAATGTAAGTGGCAATGCCTCCCCCTCCCCCCCCCCAAAAAAACGTGTTTGTCTTCTAAAGGGGTATTACAGCTCCCCTTCCCCTCCCCCTTTTTTGGTGCTTATGTATCACGAAGGAAAATGTTGGAGAATCAAAGCTCCCATTTTTTGAAGAAAAGTGAAAACAATCATATCTTTGGGAAACAATTTAACTAAACTCCATTTCTGAAGGAAATTACTTTTAGCAATCCTCTTACTTTCTAGACTTAACAGAAAATGTTTGAGTTGTTGAGTTATAATTATTATTTTTTTAATTTAAAAAATAACTGTATTTTAAAGAAAGCGACAAAACGTTTGAGTCTGTAAAAAATGTACAAAGCGTTGAAAGTTGAATTCTATAGTAAGTAGAACAATGCTAATTAAGATGAATAGTGACAACAAGAAAAGAGGTAAAGCATGAAAGTGTGAGAATTAAAAAGATAGTTTTAGATTTACATGGTGTAATTGCTGATTCAAAGATGGTTGTTCTCTTTGAATATGAATAGCCTCTTTTATCTTAAGCTGAAAGCTGGTGGAGGCGTGATCTAAAACATGGAAGTTATCTGTAGAACACAAAGCGCGACAATGTGGAGAATCTTTCAGATGCCTGAAAATGTGAGAGGCCCTGTCACTGACTTAGTGCTCTCTAACACGTGTGGAAAAATGCCGGCAGAGGTTTCACCGACGTAACAGGCATTACAGCCAGCGCATACAAACTTATAAACTACACGTGAACGGAGTCCGTCAGGGACAGGGTCTTTCACACCAAACAAGTTACCGATTTTGAAGGAAGAGAAAACCAGTTTGATATCCAAGTCATTGCAATAGCGCTTAATAAAATGGCAGATCTTTTTTGAGTGATAGCAGAGAAGTGGCCTATGTAGGGTAGCTTAAAGTAGAACGTAGGTGAAGTGGTAGGAAGGGAATCCCGGGGATGATGATTGTTTTGGGTCCCAGTGATGTAACGGTTTATAATCTCGATTAAATGAGCAGGGAAAAGATTCTTTTTTAGAATATCAGTAAGATTGTTAATGTCCTCGTGAAACCCTAACCAGGTGTTATTAATCTTGTAAGCCCTATCAACGAGTGTCTTAATGAGACCCACTTTGTAAGAGTACGAGGTGAAGCTGAAATAATTAGTTAGTAACCCAGTGAAAGTTTTCTTGCGGTAAACCCTAGTTAGAGAGGAATTGGGGTCATGGTTGTCAATCAGGACATCTAAAAAGGGTAATTTGTGATTAACCTGCTTTTCCATAGTGAACTTGATGTTAGGGTGCCTAGAGTTGATATAGTCGAAAAATATAGTGGCATCTCGATCTGAGTTAAATAAGCAAAAAGGAATCATCAACATACTGGCGATAAAATAAAATCGTAGAGCCATGAAAATTTTCCAACCAAAGTTTTTCGTGATGTCCCATAAAAAGATTGGCTAAGACAGGAGCAAGGGGAGACCCCATGGCTACGCCATCTATTTGATCATAAAAAGAACCGTTAAATATGAAATGAGTCTGGGCGGTAGCTGTAGTGAAGAGACTTCTAAGTTCAGATTTGTTTAACTTAATGTCGGGATTACCCTCGGAAATGTAATTGACCGCTAAGTCAATACACTCCTCAAGAGGTATGTTAGTAAAGAGACTTTCAACATCAAAAGAGACCATAAACTTACGAGATATAGATAACGATTGGATGTCCTGTACAAAAGTAAAAGTGTCAGTGGCACAGTAATCAGTTGGAATGTGAGGTGAGATGCCAGGTTGTAATTGTATGTTCCTATAGAAGATACGATGGAGCGAAATGGCGGTGTAGAGTTAGCTTCACGATCCTTATGCATTTTTGGGAGGGCCGTAAATTCTTGCTGGAAGAGGGGGAGTGGTGAAGAGAGGTAAAGACCAAATTTTTATTTGAGAGTGTTTTAGGACAGAATATTAACACATTACGAGGGTTGTCTCGTTATGAGTTCAAATTGAAAACACGGGTAGATGCTCAGCTAGAGAGCGTGAAGGTTACAACCTTTTTCTAGACATTTACAGCTCTCAAAACGTCAGGCATTGATATCCCAAGAACCCATCTTTAATAAATGTTAAAATTCTGAGCCGCTTACAGAATAAAACTTGGACGATTTATGTGAGGTTTTCAGCGCACAAAAATGTTTCCATGTGGGTTTGGCACGTTTCTCAACTGGTTTGGTCGATTTTTACCACAAGGATCATGAGTTGGTGAGTTAATCCTTGTGTCTCCATCAAAGTAGTAATAAGCACTTCCAGCATTGAGGAGAGGTCCGCGACTGGGAAGACTCATAGATTTTGGTACCGTTCCAGTGCACTGATTAGAAACCTGCTTCACCAGTTTACAAGAAAGTGACCCCTTCTTCTGTGTCACTATGCTACCAGAACCTTCCTTGCATGCGATCCAGTTGTTGATGTTGCTCTTGATCAGGAATTCCTTGCCAATGCTGCGCCACAAAGAAAAGTCCATGGCCTCATACTGCGTCTCGCTCAGTGGAACTGTTTTAGACACTCGAACGTTAGCGTCGCTAGCTGACCAAGATGGGCGCGGGGTGACAGCGTTCCGGCCGGTACAGAAGCTTGAGTAGGCAGTGAAAGTGTAACTGTAAACTAGCGTCCAGCCCCCTCCGTCTGTTTGCTGGTCGCAGTAGACCTGGAAAGCGTTACTACGGGAACCGCCATCAGGATCTATCCAATAGACGCCTGACACGGCGTAAGGGGACTTCTCTTTGAGCACCTTACAGTTCAGCACTGCTAAGTCTTTGGACAATCCTATGAAGTCTATAAAAACAAGATAGAAATGTAGCCAGAGGGCATTCGTATCAAAGTTGCTCATAAATGATTTTCTGACTGAAACGCTGGTAAATTTCGGGCGAAAGAATAAAATTAAGGAATCTAATCCGCTATTTTTCTCAGAAGTATAACTCCAGCCCAATTATTTTGTTGGATCACAGATTGGTGCTGGGTCTCTTGCAATTCAAGACTTAGTTATACAAAAATATTTGGTTTTTAACCGAAAGAAGAGGAATATGAAAAAGTAATCCAAGAAACTTAAACCTGGTTAAAGGTACACTCAAGACAAGGGTTTCATTTTTAGGGGAAAGTACGTAACACAAGTACAGACACATTTTGAAATTCCCAATCGTGAAAGCATGACATTAAATGGCATAAAACGTGAAATGCAAGGGCATGAGGTGAAAAGCACACTAGTATTTAAGTCAATCTCGCTTTTCTTGATAAGTTTATACTGATGTCTTAAAAAGTAAAAGAGAAATATCATACCTAGTTCCGTTTGCTCTGCCAAACTGTACGTCCCATTTCTCAATCGTTTGATAATTTCGTTCTTGCAGAGCAACGCCGTCTTGTAAAGATATAGATTGCCTTTTGCATCCACGTCCAACACTCTGAAGCGTCGCTGATCCACTCCCCTGGTGTCCGAGATCAGAAAAAAACAATTTTGTTAAAAATCTTTCGTCTTAGTTTTTCCAATACGAAACGTTGTTTTGACTATTGTCAAGCGTTTTTTGATAAAAAAAATGATACTTTAGTTGGTATAAATCACCAAAACAACTGATCGAGAAGGTGAAAACTCTCAAAAAATTAAAAATATTTTGGGTTCTTAAGATTCCTTCAATAGGATGTATGTATGGGCAGCCAAAAATCTAAGGTAAACTTAAAATCCATTCAGTGATGCAAAAGTTAATAATACCCTGAGGTCGAGAAGAAAACGAAATAGAAGATCATCGAATGTAACAAAATCATTCCAGTGTAAATATCCTGAATTGATCGATGGCTAAAATGGAATTTTCTGTCCATCTTTTTGTCGAGATCCAAGTTGCAATACTACCGGCCGATAAATATGCTTTTTAATGTTTTAATAAAACTCGGAGTAATTTATTTTTAAACACAATCATCCATGTCATCTAATAAATAAAGGTTTTGTGACAGTATTGATGTTTTGACAGCTGATGAGACTATTTGCCCTGAGGAGTTTATAAGGAAAACGCACGATTTTGCACTCAGGATGACTATCAATAAAAATAACCCAAATTTTTTTTACAATTTACTCAGAAGAGATAGTTGATGAGGCAAGCAATAAACTAGTTTGTACTTTAAGATAATCTTGTGCAGCCTTCTTTTTATAATTTTAGATGTAATCAAGCCAAGTGCATTAGATGTTTTAATCAAACATAATATTATACCCATAAAAAAGTATTCGCATTCCACTGACCGATTCTTGCTAATCAAAGAAAAGTTGTAAGCTCCTACATCGATACAAAAAGAAGAAGGGGCATTTGTAAATAACGTAATTTTCCGGTTGAATGAAAATCTCAATAACACTTAAAGTTTTAAGTGCAAATAACTCTTTGCGGCGTTGATTTTTTCGGTATTTTACACTGTCATTTAGGAGTTAGTTCGTGCATGAAATTAACATGTTCTTGAATTCAACAGTCGTATGTAAATTTATGACCAAGTCAGCTTAATTTTGCGTTTTGATGTACTGAAAAATTAAAGCGTATGTGAAATTATTTCGAATAAAACAGTCGACCGAAAGTAATCATGAAAATAAAACATCAAAAGATGTCGTGCCATTACCAAGTTGCGTCCACCCTAAGAGAACGTGTGTGGTGTCGATGATAAATCGTGTCCAAAAAAATTGTGGTTTAAGTTTTGATTTCGTTCTTGAAGTGGAAAAAAAGGAATTGTTGGTGAGGCCGCTAAAAAGGATACGCGACTACTGGCTGTTGATGATGGTTTGTAGGGAAAGAGACGCCGTTTAAAAGTTTTAAACATATAACGTCAGTCACATTTAAATCATTTGAACAGTAATAAGGGGTGAGGTAACCCGCCTAGCCTTGGTCGAAAAGTAAAACGCGTTAACATTTTTGTTGTGCTTTCAATTAGGGAGGTTGAGCAAAAAAGAGAAAGACGAAAGATTAATTTTCGGACACGTGTGTATTTATTCATAAAGGCGTCACGCTTTGTGTCACGCGGTGTTAGGTTACGCGAGGAACCATTGACTTAATATGTTATAAGGAATAGTTTGAAATATGGTCGATTTACAACGCTAAATATTCCGAAATGTCCTTGAGTGTCTGTTGCGGTTTCTGGTGATTTCTGCCATGAGACGGTTAAGAAATGTACAAAGTTTTTAAAACACGTGTTTCACTTTTGAGCTTTTTGCCATGAATGCGACCTCGGCTAGGGGGGTTGCCCCACCTTGAGACGTTTACATGGCAAATTGTCACCCCGGCTGACAGGGTTACCCTACCTGGTAGACCGGGAAACCCGCCTAGGCCGGTCAACCCACCTATCTTGTAAACGTGATTGAAATAAAATAAGAAATTATATGGACAGGCGGGTTACTTCACCTACCTGGGGTCCCCCACCTACATGTAAACAAGCCCTAAAAATGAAAGTCCGTAATTGCGCGCGCCAGGGCGTAACTACCTACTCTCTTTTTTAAAAATTTTTTTTTTTAATTTTTTTTTATGAATTCCATAAATGCGTAAAAAAATTCGATTTAGTTTATTTGGATCTTTGAGAGATGATTCGAAAAGTGAAAAGACTTTCATGTGGCACTTGCTTATAATGGTCGAAAAACAAGAGAAAAAAAAAAACAAACCCAACAGAATATTGAATAACACTGTTCGTTTTTTCTGATCCAACACTAGGCCGGCGGTGAGGAAACTTGTTTTAACTTTGCAATACTCTTGTTGCAACCTCAGTGAATAACACAGTTGTAACATTGACTCAGTTGTAATCGAGCCAGGATACATGATTTATCAGATCACGAGACAAAACTCGTAGCATTGTATTATATAACCATCGCTTCAATATTTGCGCAACCTCGACGAATGAAAGCAAGCTGTGAGCAAACATTTTTAACTTGTTTGGTTTAGAAGAGGGTCTCTGTGGGGTGATGGGTGACTTTAGACATTAAAAAGTCCGGTTGATTTCTTCTAATAAGATGTTCGAAAGCATAGAAATACAAAAAAATCTTGCGTTTGTTAATTTCCTTCGCCGCAGTGACTTCAAATTTTTAGTGATTTTGCTACCGTGACAGATGAATTATGCAAATTAGTCTGTTGAGCAAACTCTGACCGTTCTATATCAATGGCTCCCTGTAGTTTGGTCCTGAAATGTTCATACAGGTTTAAATAGCTCAAGCTCTCTAAACTCAAATAGGAAAGAACACAAACCATTTCTTTAAAAAAGAGTTGCTCGTTAAAACGCTGACCGATCGCTCATCAGTACGATAGTCAATACGTTTTGTTCGTCTCTTGTTTCACATATCACAAGAGGCAAGTGATCAGTTCAAACTTGAAGTATTGACGAGCCTGCATGACATTCCTGCCATCCGGAAGCGATTTTAAACTTCTGTCTTCATAGATTAGTTTTGATCAGGATATATTTTGAAAGAGGAGTGGTTGACAAGGATCTTTTAAGATGCTACATCAAATTTATTCCTCAAATATTGAAGATTTTGTTAACTAAACCTTACAAATGGCTTTGAAAAAAAAAATTTAACCAGATTCAAGTGGTTCGTTTTATATCTAAACTACTGTTTTAACTTTACTGATTTCGCTTAACTTTAAAGCCTTACTTACGTCAACATTTTTCTGTGCTTATTATATTGGAAATAAAATTTTTGCGTTGTTCAGTTGAAGGTTTCTTTATTCTTCTCTTTCTTACATACAACTTATTACCTCGGGACTAACTCAGATCTAACAAGGAAAGTGTGGGTCTCCGCTTATAAAAGGGACGCTTACTGAGCTGCCAATCTCTAACCTTCGTCATCCTTTTACACTTAATTAGCGAATCACGTTAAGCTACGAAGAGCGGAGTTCGCATACTAAGTAGATACCTTCGAGATGTTTACGCTTTACAAAATCATTTTCTTCCTTAAATTTCTTAGTCTTACAGTCAAGGTTGGTCATAACTAAAACAAGATTGATAATATAAAAATTGTAATGAAATTACCAACAGAATTAGAATCATACTTGAAAATATATCTTAAGAGGAAATACTCCTCGGAGACTGTTTCAAAATAGTACAATAAACAGAAAATTCGGAGAACAAAGGGCGTACCCAAGGTACTGCCCCTAAAAGAGCTACGTGCTATTCGTATAAATTACCTGATTAAAATTCGGTGCGGAGGATGAAAAGTACTACTTGTTTACACCTTAAGTCACCTTTACGAAAAAGAGGTGTTAAGCGTGCTAAATTATACCTGTAAGATAAGACCGCCAAAAGGAATAAGAAATGATCAACTGGCTTATTATAATTTTTTTCTGAATGGCTTATGCTAATATACTATTTCCATTCATTTTCAACGTTTAAATAAGTAAAAAAAAAAACTTGATAGATACAAATTTTGTCTTTTAACAATATTGAAAAAGAAAGCACAAAAAATTGAACTCGATCTAATTTGGGATAGCTCCTTTTTTAATTTCAATGAAATACCAGCTAAAGTATTTTCTCTACTTTGCTCTATTCAATTTATGCATCTGAAAGTCATTGGCTCTGTTTCCTTCGAGTGATTCTCACTATTTACTCTGCCGGGGTCTCTTTCTCTGTAAAAAAAGTGAGAAAAAAAACAGCAATTTATTATTAACTCAATTAATATTTTGGATATGAAGCAAATACAATTATACCAACCTCAATATCTAAAAATATAAATGGCTACCACTTGTATGTGATTGGCAGAGAGGCCCTTTCGAGATTCTCCATTTACACCAGAGAGCGTCGATAGTAACTCTCCGAAAAGAAATAAATATATATACATATATATATGCATATATGGATATACATTTAACTAGCCTTGATGTTCAAGGTAACAAAGGATCCCCGCCGACAGTCAGCGACCAGTAAACCACAGCTACCTTCACATCTACTTTGACTTTAAGTTTGTGAAATATCTTTTCGGAATGAGTCTTACCTCTGCTTGTCAAACTCGAATCTCACATCATCTCCAATCAGCGTAAACGAAGCCCATTCAGACACTCTAAAGCCGGTTTTTCTCATCCACTTCATGGCCTGGTGAAGGGATTCACTGGCACTTTTTCCCTCTACAAGGTGTTCGTAGAACCGACTCATCAGCTGCTCTGTTACTGAGTCTGAAATGGCCCACAGCGCAACCAACACCGAGCGAGCACCGGATCCTAAGAACGCACGGGCAATTCCTATAACTCCCTCGGCTCTAATCTCACCACTTCCACTATGACAGTAGCTAAGGACCACCAGTTTAGCTCTGACTTTCACTCGTGAGACATCAGCCATCGTCAACATGTAATCCTCCTTCGGTGGGATAGCTTTTCCCCTGTTTGAAGTAGGAATGGGGGAGAGGGCAATTTCTCCCCTTTCGGCGTCACCGTGGGCAGCAAAATGAATCAGGCTCACTGAACATATTCGCTCAAGCACCGCCTGCTTCGTTGCTTCCTCTCCTACCATAGGCGGAACACCCACCAGTCGTCCGACCATCTCCGCTTCCTTTCTTGCACCTGGCAATGGCGGCAGCCAATTAACCTTAGGGTTGCCTATTATCAAGGCACCAGTGTTGCTGTGATAGTCCTCTGGGCTATCTTGAATAATCTTGAGTGTTGTCAAAGAAGGAATGACACGGATTCTATGAGTCTCCGAGAGGTATTCGGCTCCCTCCTTTTCACTCAGTAAAGCAAAGGGAACTTTGTACAAACTGCGATCAGGAACGATGATGACTTCAGGCTCCTCAAGCAAATCATAAACAGGAGCAATAAACATTTTGTAACACAAAAATAGAGCTGAAATCACTTTCTCGTCCTCATCCTCGTCCTTGTCGTCCTCCATGAGTCGCAATCTTGCTGAGCTCTTCCGCGTGGGGGAGAGAGGTTGTAATTTAACTATATTTAAAGACCGATCTTCAAAATCTTTAGTGGAAAAAGTACCAAGACTCCGAAAATTACCCTCCAAAAATTTACTCAAAGGCAAATCTTTGGGCAACCCAGCCTGAACTAGATTCTCCACTGATCTTCTTCTATAGTGAAGGACTCCACTTGTTTTTAAGATCCACAAATGCAAATCATTGTGAAAATAAGAAATGTACAAACAAGTACAGTTATTTTCCTTTCTAAAAATGTTCTCAACGCCAAACCAAGACTGCGGATTAGCAGAGATGTGCGTTTTAACCGAGTACTTCTCGACCATTAAGTCTGATAGGCCTCTAGCTCGACCCAACTCCTCAACATAAAGAGCATCCCGCGCATTTCCAGTGTCACAAAGCAACCTACAAAGCAGCTTGTAAGGAAATATTCCTGAGTGCTCCAGAAATGATGTTTTGAAATGATCATTGGTGCCCAAGAAATATCTTAGCTCCTCATACGTTTGAATGCACAGCAGGGGTGGATCCAGGATTTTGAGTGAGTAGTTTCCACCCGAGGACCCACTCCTGCTAGGGGGGGTTCGGGGGCATGCCCCCCCGAGAAAATTTGAAATTTGGAGCTCTCTAAAGGCCATTTCATGCATTTTTAGAAAATTTAATTGCCCCCAAAAGACTAAAAAAGCATGTAATCAAAAAGGCAAAAAACATTTATTTTTCTTGAAAGTACTACAGGAAACACTCTGATCTACAAATATTCCACCTTTAGCTACTGTGCAAACCAGTGTATATAGTGTTTTCAGGAAGGCCAAGTCATCACCAAGACTTTTCACACTGGAAAACATCACCTCCCAGTCAGGAAAATCAAGATGTGGAGAAAAAAAAACGAACCAAGTGTTAGTGTTTTTGATAACAAAAGAAAAACAAGCACAATTGATGATATAGTTTAAAGATTGATAATAAAAATCTACTTGCCTTTTTCATCCTTGGGACCACAGGCTTACCATCCATAAAGCCCTTCTCTCTCTCACATTTCTTCTGTGTTGTGCTCCTATAATGAATGAAATGAATGAAAGCCAGGCTCAATAAATCCAAATGTTTAGCAACACTAAAAACAACATTTCCTGAGCTGGCTTTTATTCATTTCATTTATAGGAGCACAACACAGAAAAGAATTTGAGAGAGAGAGAAGGGCTTTATGGATGGTTAGCCTGTGTTGGGAGCTGGAATTCAAAAAATAAAACAATTATTAGAAAAATATAAATTATAAGAATCATAAAATGATATACAAATTGAAGTAAATGATAATTTGAAATAATACTAGCCTTTCTTCATCCTTGGGAATTGCTGTGAAGCTGGTTGAGTTCAGTGAAAATGTTTGTTAACCATTTAAGCTTAACATGAAAACCCAATGTCAATGTCAATGGAAAATCATCACAAGTAAAACAAAATAGAAAATAACCTTGAAATGAGTTGAAAAAAGTTATACAGGCACCAGTTTGAGCTTCTGTACTGTTCTCCATCAGTTTAAGGATTATGAGACTTAAAGGCCATAACCCAGACAGAACATAACTCACAAGTACTCTAGAAACAGCTGGTGCAAAAAATTATTACAAAATGTTTGCCATTCTCATTCTCCTAGGATGTAACTCAGCAAATAAATCTATTATACGTTCAAGGTCAAAATCCATGTCTCTGTGGGCATGCATCAGTGCCAATCCATTCAGTCTGTCCTGGGTCATTGTATTTCTCAAATAGTTCTTAAGATTCCGAAGGGATGATATGGATCTCTCACAAGATGCAGATGAAATTGGAATTGTGATCAGGACTTTCAGCATGGAATAGATGTTGACATATGCATCTTTGTCAATATCCTTCAGTGTAGCCTCCAAACTGTCAGGAATAATATCTCCTCTGTTATCCCTCCCCTTCCACAATCTCTCCCATAACAAAAGCTCTGCCTGTAATCCTGCATAATTTGGTATGTCCTGTCTGTAATGGTTACAAAATTCCAAAACATTGGCCTTCCAGGCAGGGTCAGTAGCTAGTAAAACAGAGGGAATAATCGAAATACCTTTATAGCAAACAAATACATCATCCTGGAATCTGGTGTTGAGCTGCTGGAGTACATGGTCAAGAAAAACTCTAGTGAGATTGATCTTGAAATACCCCTCAGGAGTTGCAGCAGGAGCATTATTTCTATGCATTTTTCTCTGGGCTATCCTTGGCATTTCTGGCTGGACTGCTACTTGTCTTGCAATGGTCACTGCTTCCTGGTAGAGATTATGATGTCTGTTATCAATGTCAGTGCTCATGTCTTCAAGGACTGATTTCAAAAGAGCAAGTTCATCTTTAGCTTTTAGAAGATCCATTGCTTTTTGTTGCAGCTTCACTGTGAGTGGTCTAGTTAATCCCAAAATATGTCTGACAATAACAAGAGAAACAATAAAGGAAAAGTTGATTGCATTAATTAAGGACTGAGCATCATGTCTGCTTGTTGGATTCCAGGTTGAGTCTCCAGGGCTGTTTCTGTTAAGTGAGATGTCTTCAAGTGTAGCTGTGACTGGGTAGAGAAGTTCAACTATGCGGTCCATTCCATCAATCCGTTCAATCCATCGTGTGCGGCACACATCAATTAAAACAGTATGGTTTGCCCGAGGCAATAGTTCTCTGATCTTGGCTATTAAATGTTGTTGACGCTTGGGAGAGTTGTTAAAAAAATTAGAAATCTTGCGCACAATATCCATCATGTTCTTGACAATTGGCAATTGGCAAGTGTCTGCTATGCACAAATTAAGCCTGTGGTTCATGCAGTGGACATAGATTGCCTTTTCGTGTTCTGCACTGATCAATGAGGAGGCTCCATTTAGTCTTCCAGCCATATTGCCTGCACCATCATAACACTGCCCACGACAGTCTTCCATTGTCAATCCTAAGTTTGCTACAGCTGCAGTTATAATGTCCTTGATAGCCTCCCCTGTTAATCCCTCCTCACAAATGTAATACCCAATAAATTCTTCTCGGATGGTTTTAGTTGTATCCAGAAATCTTATTACTACAGAAACATTCTCCTTATTTGAAATGTCAGCAGCTTCATCTGCCATAACTGAAAAATACTCACTATTTCTTATTTCCTGTGATAGATCATTCAAAATGTGAGCACCAACAGTTTCTATCATTTCATTCTGAATGGTCTTTGAAATGTATGTGGCATTTCTGGGTGCAGTGTCCAGGTGTTGCTGCAGTGTTTGGTCACCACTGTCTACCCGGAATTCTAGCAATGCCTGGAAATTACCGGTTAGGGCAGCATTAGTGGGATCATCATCTCTCCGCCCCCTGAGTGGGATGTTGTTTTTCCCACAGAAAATAATAGTTTTGAAAAGGGACTTTAGAATCTCCCGATTTCTCGCGATTTGCTGTTGAACTATGTTATTTAACTGCTGGTCAATTGGGACAGCTCCTCTTTGCATCATTCTCTTGAAATCATTCATAGCAGTCATAGAAAAATTGTGAATTTCACAATTTCCTAGCGAGTGTTTGGTTAAGCGAGAAGCGGCCGAAGTCCAATTTGTGAGAGGAGACTTCAATAATTTGTCTAACTTATTAGCGTTTTGCCCACACTGAACTCCAAAACAAACACAAGCTAAACAAAATGTTGTTTCGCCCTTAGCTCCGGTTGGAGCATAGGCCATTAACCACTTCCGTCCTCCATCGGGTTCTGTCCTGGGCAAATCTTCCTAAAGTGGCCCAAGTGTGGCCCCAGTTTCTCATTTGGGACTCTACACCTCTTCTCCAGGAATTCCTGGGACGACCCCTCTTTCTCTTGCCCTGGGGGTTCCAACGTAGTGCCTGCCGGGTGATGTTGTTAGCCGGTTTCCTTAGGATGTGACCTATCCATCTCCACTTTCTCTTTGAGATCTGAGTTATGATTGGTTCCTCGCCTGCTAATTCCCACAGCATCTCGTTCGTTACCCTATCAGTCCAACTGATTTTTAAAATTCGCCTAAGGCACTTATTGACGAAGGTCTGCAATTTCTGGGACGTTTGCTTAGTTGTTCTCCACGTTTCTGAGCCATAGAGGAGGACTGCTTTGACGTTGGTGTTAAAAATTCTAAATTTGGTTCTCCGTGAGATGACATGGGAGGACCACACTTTCCTCAGCATATTGAAAGCTTCTCTGGCTTTGTTTATCCTGGCCTTGATATCTTCATCGGAACGTCCGTCAATGCTGACTACACTGCCTAGGTAGACAAAAGATGTTACTTCCTCCAAGATGGTATCCCTCACTTTAACTGGTCTGTTGTTGGTGCAGTTGACCTTCATAACCTTGGTCTTACTCACATTCGGATGCAGGCCTAACTTGATGGAATTAGCTGTTAGCCGTGCTGTTTTGTCCTGCATTTGTTGGTTGTTACTTGACACCAGGGCGATATCATCAGCAAACTCTAGATCTTCAAGTTGCTCCAATAAGTTCCACTGGATCCCATTTCGCTGTTCTCTAGTTGTTTCCTTCATGATCCAGTCCATAGCAAGTAGAAACAAAAACGGTGCCATCAAACAACCCTGCTTGACCCCAGTGTTGACCGTGAAGCTATCTGACAATCCACTAGCATGAAGGACTCTGCAAGTCATCTTATCATAGGAATTTTTGATGATTCGAATGAATTTCCCCGGTATGCCATAGTGTCTCATAAGGCACCAAAGAACACTTCTATCGAGGCTATCAAAAGCCTTTTCAAAGTCGATGAAATTAACGTAAAGAGAAGTGTTCCATTCAATTGACTGCTCAATGATTATCCTAAGTGTGGCTATTTGGTTGATACAGGAGTGGTCCTTCCTGAAGCCAGCCTGCTGATCTCTCAGTGTAGCATCCACAGCCCCCTGAAGACGAAGCAAGATAATTCTGTTCAGCACCTTCCCTGCCGCTGACATCAAGGATATACCTCTGTAATTCTTGCACTCCCGGCGGTCA